CCTGCGTGCCAGCCCAGCTGTTCTTTCCCAGGCTCGAGATTCAGCTGCTGTTGAAACTGATCAGTGGCTAATTCCAGGAAGCTGGGGGCAGAGCAATTCTGCCTCCAGCTTCCTGTAGTCAGCCCCTGGTCAGTTTCAGCAGCAGCGGCTGAATCTGGAGCCAGTTCCGACTTACATACAAATTCAACTTAAGAACAAACCTATAGTCCCTATCTTGTACGTAACCCGGGGACAGCCTGTACTACCTTACACACTTCATAGCTCTAATTCCTGGGACCAACACAACAACAACAATTCAGCATTATGAGATAAAACTGAAGTTTGTGGAAAAGTAAAGAAGGGTTTTGTAAATGGAGAAAATGGTACACCAGAAGGAACAGATAAAGCCACAACATTAATAAACCTAAAATCAATAAATTTACCTTTCTTGCCGTGTGGATGTCAAAAAACGGTTTGTTTCGAACACTGAATGGTTCCTGTGCTTTGTCAATGAGACCATTCTTCATCTTTTCATGCCGTGGAAATATAATCTCTTTTTCTATACATGCTAGTCGAATGTTAAAATCACATTCTCCAACTGGCTGTCCCTGCCAATTTAGACAAAAAAAAATAAAAACCTAAATGCTTATTAAATTATGATTAGATTGAGGTTCCCCATACAAAATATTTATAAACAAAATATTTATACAGATAGAGGTACATTGAATATAATCAAACACAACAAAATATTCACATTTATGTCAATCTTCCCAGCTTCCACATATTTTTCTAGAGCTAAAGAGGTCCTATCCAAGGATAATTAAAAAAAAAAAAAAGTCTTGCTAAACTTGTGTGCTCTAGAAATAAGAGATCAAGTAATCTAAAACTGATGATTTTGTAAGCACAGAATTGTTAGGTAACCATAACAGTATTATTAATAATAGTATTTTACTACATGTTGTACCTTTATAAACAAACTCTGTAGTCCAGCAACATCCATGGTCCAGAAGGACCACAAAAGTTACAAGATCAGAGAGTCCTGGCATGCTGCAGGAGGAGGGAGAGGGTGGCAACAGGGCAGGAGCCTAGCACTATATGCAAGTCAGGGGGCGGGGAGAATGCATGGCCCAGCTGGGTTGGGGGAGGGGGTCGTCTGCAAGTCAGTGCAGGGCTCAACTGGACTATGGGGGGGGTTGGAGTCAGAGCTGGTGTGCGGCTCAGTTGGGTGGTGGGGAGAGCTAGGAAGCCTAGTGGAGAAGTGGGGCCAGAAATAAGCTCCCCTGGCCCAGAAAAATCCCTCATCCAGGACCAGTAAAGTCCCCAGTGTGTGAAACCAGGGAGAGCCAACATGTAATATACTTTAGTCCCCTTTGTTCATAACTTAATGGTATCTAGTAGCACAGCTAAGGAAAACCCTTACTTCATATGTACTACAAACACTTTTGCACTAAGAACTAGACATTAGCATTTCTGTTGTAGAAAATGAAGTTAATGAAAATGAAGCTGTAGATTAGAAAAGCTGCAAAAACCAGTAATACATAAGGACAGTAAGCTAGAAGAATAGGTTATAGCTCAGTCATAAAAGATACTAAAGTTCTTGTTTAATTCTCAGGTGTTAAACTATGGCCTTTCGAGATCTGAAAGAAATTACTCATTTTACAACCCTTCTTTACTCATTTGGTGGAATATACCAGATAAATAGGGCAGTTCAAAAAGCACATCTAGAACATTAATAATGGTCATATTGTAGTTAGTTACATTTAGCATGTGACTTACTGTAGCTGCCATTAACTGAATAGTAATAGATTATGCAAAAATGTAATACTAATTTTAGAAATGTGAATTTCAACCAAATCAGTCAATTTTATAGCAATCCAAGGAATATAGTTCATGTTTTATCATTATTATGTCCAGTCTATAATACTAATGAGACTTATTTTGCCTAGTCTATTCCTTACTCTGCTTCTTTCTCCTTCATATTCAAAAATACTATTTTTTCCACAAACTATCCTGGATATACTTCATGCCGCAAACAAGGCACAAAAAGTTGACCCTGAACTATGCAAGGTTTGGAAAGTTATAAGCAAGAAAATAGAAAACTAGACTAGTGATTTTTTTAAAGGACTATCAGAAGTGGCCGCCTTTGGGATCAGCAAATGTATCACCCACTGGGGATTTATTTTCTATTTACAATTTAGGAAAGTACAAGGTATCACCGCCTTGATTTTTGCAATGATTTGTGAAAAATGTCACGATTCTCAAATAATCTTTTCTGGTTACATATGCTGAAGTACACAACCCCGTTATTCTGCTACTTTTCCTAAAATCACTTCTGCACTTACTCACGTCTTGTAAGAAATTCAAAATAAACAGAAAATTGTATTTACACAATTATATTACAGCTAATCATTTTAAAAGATTTTGCTGTAGTGGCATAAATTGATTTCAGGCCTTCAGTAGTGGCATTTCAATTCTTTTCTGTGAATTCATATGGAATCTTCTAATCACCTAATTCTGCTTAAAAATATATATTTTTTTCCTTCTCACATCTATTCTGAAGTAATTATCTCCCACAGTTCTAATACTAAATTTTTTATTTCAAAACTAGTTACAGCATAGTACCGCTCGTTCCTTTATGTAAAGGTCAAAGCTAGACTGATATATGAAAAGTCTCAGAGGAGTAGCCATGTTAGTCTGTAATTGTAAAAACAAAAGTGGAATGTTACTGCTGCACCCTGCCCCCTCCCACAAAGCTGGCTTAAGCCAGTGAGAGGGAGGGACTGAGGGGATGGGGGGGGGGGGGGGGGAGAGTGACTAGTTGACTAGTGTGTCGACTATTCAATAAGCTGTTAGTAGGAACTTGATGGGAATAGAAATGCACTGAAACCAAAATGGAGACTGTGACTAAAGGGACAATCCAAAATGGGATGATGGGATTTTAACATGGTACCCAACAGACTGAAAGGACTTTTGCCGCCAAAACCACCCTCTGCACACAGCACATGTCCATGCACACCGCACCAGCTTGTCTGCACCCAGCACCATTCTCTAGACTCGGCACTCCAGCTGCTTTCTCGCCCAGAGGCGTTTATAAGCTTGGACCCTGAGAGAGTTCGGGTTCCTGAGTTCCTAGTTTTTCTCAGGTTCCTTCGTTCCTTAATGAGTTCATCGTTCACCTAGCTTGCTGTCTCCAGGACCGTGGTGAAGGCCGGGACCTATCCTGATAACAGACCAGCATCTAGCAGGGTGCTTCAACCCACCATTGTGGTGAAAGCCCGGTGCCAGTGGACTCTAGCTACCTGTCAAGGACAAACCGGACACACCGCCTAACTCCGATTTCTATGGTGAATGCCCTCTATTCCAGAGCTGGGAAAACCATCTTGTGTGTGATCTACTCACAAACTGACTGTCACACCATCGACAGAGCAACAAGGACTCCTCAGTGTTCCTCCACCGAGGCTATCTGAGCTAAAGGGTTGCAGGTCCTAAGCTTCGGCTGTCGGTTACCATCTCCGGACAGACTGAGTATAATTTCCTTTACACACTGCATAACACCTCATTATTTTAAAAGGGTGTAGGGTTGGTTTTACAGTGTTGTATTGGATTTATTCAAGTTCATTGGTTACCTGTTGTATTCAATACACTTTTATATCTTTTAAATTTGAAATCATAGTCTGTGTTTATTTCCATCTGAGAAATCTGCTGGTGATAGATACAGTGGGTTCCAGGCCGGATCTCCTTCTGGGACAAAGGCATTTACCATCTAGTCAGCAGCCCCAGTCTTAATTAGTTTACTAGTACGCCTTTGCTGGTAACAAAGCTTTTGCTTACTGGATAGCTGACTGGTCGATTAGTTGCTTACATCCCTAATCCAGAGTATATATATAACAGCAAAAGCAGTTACCTAATAATTGTCAGACCAGTGTTAATGATGCTGTCCCAGGCTGGAGGTGTCCCATGCATGGCAGGGGAAATTGCCTTTGTTGTGCATTAATCAGTGAATATATCTTTATTCAAATCTAAGCTGATAGTGTTGAGTCTGTAAATGAATTCCAGTTCAGCTGTCTCCCTCTGTAATTGGGTAATAAAATTCTTTTGTAGAAGAATGGCTACTTTTAAATCCATTATTGAATGTCCAGGGAGGTTAAAATGTTCCCCTACAGGTTTACATGTGTTACCATTCCTGACGTCTGATTTATGTCCATTGATCCTTTGTCATAGAGACTGTTCAGTTTGGCCAGTATACAAGGCAGTGGGACATTGCTGGCTCTTGATGGCATATATCAACATTAGGAGGAACATCCACAACAGAAATTTGGCATAATTCTGAATGTGACATGCTTCATTAGACATTTATGAGAAGGTTTGGTTTTTTTAAGACCTATAAATACCTGAGTACCTGAACTGACTTCAGGATTTTACAGGTTCTGATCATTTGTGAAGGGAGATTATTATTAGTTCAGTGCTGTTTGATATGGCACTTTAGCTGTGTTTTAAGATGTCATCATTAAAAAGATTTTAAATTGTAATGCAAGCTATGCCCAAGTGTTTTGTTCCAAAAAAAAAAAAAAAAAAAAAGTTTATTGTAATAGTATCTCTTAGGGTTAGACTCAACTAGCAAGAAACATTTATGCCTAATCTACACTAGAATTTGCAATGGTGTTAGCATGGATTAATTAATATATATTAAACCATGAGTAAAAATTCACCTTGAGACATGCACCCAGAGAGAAAAGAAGTCTCTTTAATACCTCTTCCTATTTAAGCTCTCGTAACGTGGTGTAACTCTTTGTAATTGCACTGAGAGATCAAAAGATGCTATGGTTGTATTCCACAGTACTTTTGTTAACACTCTTTTGTTTTTAATGCAACTCCCTATCACCAACCATACAACAACAGGATTATCCCTGAAATGTGAATCAAAGTCCCTAACTGGATGAATCTAAATAAGCAAAAAAGTTTTGAAATCCATAAAAAATAGTCTATTTTACAAACACAGGCAAATAGATGGATTTAAATCTAAACTCTTTCCGACCTGGCAAATTTAAATAGTTGAAACTAAAAGCAAATTGCAAACTTTTACTATATTAAATCAAAAATACATATGTCAACAAGTCCCTTTTCATCTACTAGATGGAAAAATAAGCAGTTTTTAAAAACGAAATTAGGAAGTATAGACAATAAAGAAGAAAAAAATAACTAACTCAGTTCTTCAGATAGAAAACAGAAAGGCTGAAAGTTGCTCTCCACTGACTCAGACAACACGACTAAATGACACACAGCATGGATTTAAATGGGAAACTCTAACTTTATTAATTATCTCTCAGAAAGGGGCACTACACTGCCTTCTGTGCTCCCCCCCCATTCTCACACGAGCCATTTACTCGTTCCAGGGCTTTAATCAAAAGATAAACAATAACTTAGAGTAGATCATCACCAATCAACTCCATGGACTCAGATCTTTTTTGAAATCTCTCCCCTCCTCCCTGTGACGGGGGTGTGGACCCCCGCACTACCAGACCCATTGAAGCAGCCTGGGGAGGGGGTGGACTGCCACCCCTGCAGCACATGCGCTGAGGCTGTGTGAAAATATAAATTCCCGGTGGTT